AAAAAAAGAAAAAAAAAGAAAAAAAAAGAGAAGGGGAAGAGAAAACGGGGGGGGGGGGGGAACAGAGTAGAACCTCTGGTAGCCTGATGTAAGACCTTTTCTCAGTTGTGCAATTCTGGCTAGATTCCAACATGCTGTTATTGTCACTGGAAACAAGATATTGGCACAACTGTATTAGAGCATCAAGGAACCTCCCTCCCTCTCTCTCTCTCTCTCTCTTGCTTGTACTCCACAACGTACTGCATACTTGATGACTCATTTGGGAGCAGTAATGAATTTTGCCCCAGGTCACATTAACTAATAGAATTTAAGGATTGCTTCTTTATATGACTTGACTGAGTTTTCTTACTGAATAGGGCTGCCTTGCTAATTCTTCTACTATGATAAAGTTACATTGTAGGTAGTTGGAAAGGGATTATGCACAGCAATGAATTAGGCTCTTAGGTTCAGCGTTATAAAATTAGTTTGGACCAAATGATCTTTAGGTTCCTTCAATTTATGACCCCTGTACCCACTTAATCCTTCTTTTTTGCAGTCCTTTCAATGACCGACCAATGTGCAGGATATGCCACGAAGGCAGCAGTCAGGAAGACCTACTTTCTCCTTGTGAATGTACAGGAACCTTGGGGACTATTCATCGTAGCTGCCTGGAACACTGGCTCTCATCTTCAAATACCACTTACTGTGAACTCTGCCACTTCAGGTTTGCAGTAGAGCGCAAACCAAGGCCATTGGTTGAGGTTAGTAAATGAGGCGTGTCTTCAGAAGCTTAAATTTAATTATGTATGTTTTTATACTGGGAAGCAAATGAAAAACTGTAGTCTGGAGAGTTTAGGATCAGAGAGGGGGAACAGAAGGACAGCAAGAGGACGGTTATGAATCCTTTCAATTTTTAGCCAAGTACATGAGTGACTAAAGTGGAATTGATGCATTGGTTTTTATGTACCTTTATTTAACTATAGCAGAAAATGTGTAGGACACATGTAATATTCTTTGATTTAGTATAGGCATTTTGAAAGGAAATAAATGTATGTCATATCAAGAGAAATATTAGTGTGTATTATAAATATATACTAAGAAATTACTTTTAAAATCCACTGAACAGACAGATGATGGGGTGTTGTTTTAAATTTTAAATATTTTTGTTACATCTCTTAGTTGCCAAACACCAGGCATATAAGCCAGTTGTTTTATTCCATTTGTTCACTCTAGCTGCAGTAATTTAAATAAGTGATTTAAATAAATTGAGCTGTACATAAAATGACAATATACTCACTTGGCTGCTGCACTAAAAGCTTTTTGCTTTCTTTTGAAAGACAGTATTACAGGTCACTTAAAAATCAGCATGAAGCAGTGGATTATGAGAATATAATTATAATGAGAATAATTATGAGAATAATGAGAATAAGGTATTATTTTTCCACAGGTTATAAAAAATTAGTTGTGAAGCTGACAAGATAGAACTATGTATTTTCTTTTGTTTCAACCAATTTTGCTCCTCTCTTCAGAATCATAGTGCTGAAGGGACTTTAGAAGTCTCTAGGCCAACTCTCCACAGTGCAGGATTCATTAGATCATCTCTGACATCTACCATCTGTTTAAGGACTTAGTGAAGGAGAACTCATTGCCTCATATGGCAGCCTGTCCCCTGGCTGATAGATCATTCATTCAGAAAGGTCCTCCTGGTGCCTAGCCTGAATTTCCTTCCATGTTTTTAACTGATTGGGGCAATTGAGGATAAGTCCACTCCAGTGTGACAGCCCTTCAGATATTTGAAAATTGCTTTTATATCACCCCTCAGTTGTCTTTTCTGCAAGTTAAACATATCCAGATCTTTTAACTGCTCCTCATGACTCTTCGCTGTCTTTGAACGTGCTCCATTTTGTCCATTTTTTAAACTCTGGTGCCCAGATCTGTATGTGGCATTTCAAATGGGTTCTGACCAGGGCAGAGTAGAGTGGAACAGTTACTTTCGGTGATCTGGACTCTTTGCTTCTATTATTGTATCCCAAGATAGCATTTGCCTTTTTAGCAGTTACGTTGCACTGCCCACTCATGTTTAACTTGTGGTTGACAAGGACACCTAGATCACTTTCACATGTACTCCTTACCAGGCAAGTTTGTTTGTTTGTTTGTTTATATGTTTATATGTCAAATTTATATCACTGCCCAACTCCCCCGCAAAGAGGGACTCTGGGCGGTTCACAACAAAGCAATTTAAAATCAATAAAAACATAAATAATAGAAATATAAAATACAAGTATTAAATACAATAAAATCCAAGAGATGGTGATATTATTTCAGCC